TGCCCAAACAACTGCATGAGCTGTGTCCCCGGGACCAGCGAGTCTTTCCAAATCCCTCCACCTCTTGTCCCTCAGCCAGGCCCTCTGGCCAAGGGGCTCCTCGCGTTCTCGTTCCGAGTGGAAAGCCACTCTCTAGAACGCTAGAGGCAGGATGTCCAGATCATAAAGCTCAGCAAGCACCCCGAGAATCAAGACGCTGGAGGTCTGTGTTAGGAAGAAGGTTCGCCAGGAGCTTACCGAACCCGGAGTTCGCTTGCCGCGGCAGCCATACTGCAAGATCCATCCCGCTTGCCGCAAAGCCTCGACTCCCGGGAAAGAGGAGCTTTGGCAGCTAGGTGCTGGTCTATGAACATCGAAATAGCCTGGAATCAAACTACTTTCCAGACTTTTCTGAAAAGGTAAGGCATAACATGGCTTGAGAAATTTACAAGCCAGAGACCCGCGAGATAGGGACTGTGAATTCGTTTGTTTTGTCTGCCCATAGGAGCGAGCGGTGAGCTGCCCCAGCCCATTCTGCCTGCATTTAAGGGCACAGGATGTAAGCTTGGGGTATCCAGACATGAAACAGCTCATCCTAGCAGGCTGCAATACTGAACCGGTTTGGTTTTCACATGGGTTTGTGCAAGAGCAGGTTTTCTGGCTAAACTGTCTCAAAATGCTTGGACGTGTGCCTCCCTTGGACCCAGAGCCTCCCTGTCGCAGTTCCTACTGAAGACAGTAGAGATGAAAGGGGAAGGACCGAACTCAGCCTAGCGCTTGCATCAGCCTCCACCTGTATCGATTTATTCTCCAGTCGGCATGTCTCTAATCAATTTTGAAACATTCCGTTTTAGGTCCTGGTTGTCTGTAATCTTTCCTGAATGTAGACATTCCTGAACCGGAAGCCCGATGTTCAGGAGCCTGGGCAAGGGACAGATTCTCCACTCAGCCGATTTAGGAGGCGCTCTGCCCAAACAACTGCATGAGCTGTGTCCCCGGGACCAGCGAGTCTTTCCAAATCCCTCCACCTCTTGTCCCTCAGCCAGGCCCTCTGGCCAAGGGGCTCCTCGCGTTCTCGTTCCGAGTGGAAAGCCACTCTCTAGAACGCTAGAGGCAGGATGTCCAGATCATAAAGCTCAGCAAGCACCCCGAGAATCAAGACGCTGGAGGTCTGTGTTAGGAAGAAGGTTCGCCAGGAGCTTACCGAATCCGGAGTTCGCTTGCCGCGGCAGCCATACTGCAAGATTCATCCCGCTTGCCGCAAAGCCTCGACTCCCGGGAAAGAGGAGCTTTGGCAGCTAGGTGCTGGTCTATGAACATCGAAATAGCCTGGAATCAAACTACTTTCCAGACTTTTCTGAAAAGGTAAGGCATAACATGGCTTGAGAAATTTACAAGCCAGAGACCCGCGAGATAGGGACTGTGAATTCGTTTGTTTTGTCTGCCCATAGGAGCGAGCGGTGAGCTGCCCCAGCCCATTCTGCCTGCATTTAAGGGCACAGGATGTAAGCTTGGGGTATCCAGACATGAAACAGCTCATCCTAGCAGGCTGCAATACTGAACCGGTTTGGTTTTCACATGGGTTTGTGCAAGAGCAGGTTTTCTGGCTAAACTGTCTCAAAATGCTTGGACGTGTGCCTCCCTTGGACCCAGAGCCTCCCTGTCGCAGTTCCTACTGAAGACAGTAGAGATGAAAGGGGAAGGACCGAACTCAGCCTAGCGCTTGCATCAGCCTCCACCTGTATCGATTTATTCTCCAGTCGGCATGTCTCTAATCAATTTTGAAACATTCCGTTTTAGGTCCTGGTTGTCTGTAATCTTTCCTGAATGTAGACATTCCTGAACCGGAAGCCCGATGTTCAGGAGCCTGGGCAAGGGACAGATTCTCCACTCAGCCGATTTAGGAGGCGCTCTGCCCAAACAACTGCATGAGCTGTGTCCCCGGGACCAGCGAGTCTTTCCAAATCCCTCCACCTCTTGTCCCTCAGCCAGGCCCTCTGGCCAAGGGGCTCCTCGCGTTCTCGTTCCGAGTGGAAAGCCACTCTCTAGAACGCTAGAGGCAGGATGTCCAGATCATAAAGCTCAGCAAGCACCCCGAGAATCAAGACGCTGGAGGTCTGTGTTAGGAAGAAGGTTCGCCAGGAGCTTACCGAATCCGGAGTTCGCTTGCCGCGGCAGCCATACTGCAAGATTCATCCCGCTTGCCGCAAAGCCTCGACTCCCGGGAAAGAGGAGCTTTGGCAGCTAGGTGCTGGTCTATGAACATCGAAATAGCCTGGAATCAAACTACTTTCCAGACTTTTCTGAAAAGGTAAGGCATAACATGGCTTGAGAAATTTACAAGCCAGAGACCCGCGAGATAGGGACTGTGAATTCGTTTGTTTTGTCTGCCCATAGGAGCGAGCGGTGAGCTGCCCCAGCCCATTCTGCCTGCATTTAAGGGCACAGGATGTAAGCTTGGGGTATCCAGACATGAAACAGCTCATCCTAGCAGGCTGCAATACTGAACCGGTTTGGTTTTCACATGGGTTTGTGCAAGAGCAGGTTTTCTGGCTAAACTGTCTCAAAATGCTTGGACGTGTGCCTCCCTTGGACCCAGAGCCTCCCTGTCGCAGTTCCTACTGAAGACAGTAGAGATGAAAGGGGAAGGACCGAACTCAGCCTAGCGCTTGCATCAGCCTCCACCTGTATCGATTTATTCTCCAGTCGGCATGTCTCTAATCAATTTTGAAACATTCCGTTTTAGGTCCTGGTTGTCTGTAATCTTTCCTGAATGTAGACATTCCTGAACCGGAAGCCCGATGTTCAGGAGCCTGGGCAAGGGACAGATTCTCCACTCAGCCGATTTAGGAGGCGCTCTGCCCAAACAACTGCATGAGCTGTGTCCCCGGGACCAGCGAGTCTTTCCAAATCCCTCCACCTCTTGTCCCTCAGCCAGGCCCTCTGGCCAAGGGGCTCCTCGCGTTCTCGTTCCGAGTGGAAAGCCACTCTCTAGAACGCTAGAGGCAGGATGTCCAGATCATAAAGCTCAGCAAGCACCCCGAGAATCAAGACGCTGGAGGTCTGTGTTAGGAAGAAGGTTCGCCAGGAGCTTACCGAATCCGGAGTTCGCTTGCCGCGGCAGCCATACTGCAAGATTCATCCCGCTTGCCGCAAAGCCTCGACTCCCGGGAAAGAGGAGCTTTGGCAGCTAGGTGCTGGTCTATGAACATCGAAATAGCCTGGAATCAAACTACTTTCCAGACTTTTCTGAAAAGGTAAGGCATAACATGGCTTGAGAAATTTACAAGCCAGAGACCCGCGAGATAGGGACTGTGAATTCGTTTGTTTTGTCTGCCCATAGGAGCGAGCGGTGAGCTGCCCCAGCCCATTCTGCCTGCATTTAAGGGCACAGGATGTAAGCTTGGGGTATCCAGACATGAAACAGCTCATCCTAGCAGGCTGCAATACTGAACCGGTTTGGTTTTCACATGGGTTTGTGCAAGAGCAGGTTTTCTGGCTAAACTGTCTCAAAATGCTTGGACGTGTGCCTCCCTTGGACCCAGAGCCTCCCTGTCGCAGTTCCTACTGAAGACAGTAGAGATGAAAGGGGAAGGACCGAACTCAGCCTAGCGCTTGCATCAGCCTCCACCTGTATCGATTTATTCTCCAGTCGGCATGTCTCTAATCAATTTTGAAACATTCCGTTTTAGGTCCTGGTTGTCTGTAATCTTTCCTGAATGTAGACATTCCTGAACCGGAAGCCCGATGTTCAGGAGCCTGGGCAAGGGACAGATTCTCCACTCAGCCGATTTAGGAGGCGCTCTGCCCAAACAACTGCATGAGCTGTGTCCCCGGGACCAGCGAGTCTTTCCAAATCCCTCCACCTCTTGTCCCTCAGCCAGGCCCTCTGGCCAAGGGGCTCCTCGCGTTCTCGTTCCGAGTGGAAAGCCACTCTCTAGAACGCTAGAGGCAGGATGTCCAGATCATAAAGCTCAGCAAGCACCCCGAGAATCAAGACGCTGGAGGTCTGTGTTAGGAAGAAGGTTCGCCAGGAGCTTACCGAATCCGGAGTTCGCTTGCCGCGGCAGCCATACTGCAAGATTCATCCCGCTTGCCGCAAAGCCTCGACTCCCGGGAAAGAGGAGCTTTGGCAGCTAGGTGCTGGTCTATGAACATCGAAATAGCCTGGAATCAAACTACTTTCCAGACTTTTCTGAAAAGGTAAGGCATAACATGGCTTGAGAAATTTACAAGCCAGAGACCCGCGAGATAGGGACTGTGAATTCGTTTGTTTTGTCTGCCCATAGGAGCGAGCGGTGAGCTGCCCCAGCCCATTCTGCCTGCATTTAAGGGCACAGGATGTAAGCTTGGGGTATCCAGACATGAAACAGCTCATCCTAGCAGGCTGCAATACTGAACCGGTTTGGTTTTCACATGGGTTTGTGCAAGAGCAGGTTTTCTGGCTAAACTGTCTCAAAATGCTTGGACGTGTGCCTCCCTTGGACCCAGAGCCTCCCTGTCGCAGTTCCTACTGAAGACAGTAGAGATGAAAGGGGAAGGACCGAACTCAGCCTAGCGCTTGCATCAGCCTCCACCTGTATCGATTTATTCTCCAGTCGGCATGTCTCTAATCAATTTTGAAACATTCCGTTTTAGGTCCTGGTTGTCTGTAATCTTTCCTGAATGTAGACATTCCTGAACCGGAAGCCCGATGTTCAGGAGCCTGGGCAAGGGACAGATTCTCCACTCAGCCGATTTAGGAGGCGCTCTGCCCAAACAACTGCATGAGCTGTGTCCCCGGGACCAGCGAGTCTTTCCAAATCCCTCCACCTCTTGTCCCTCAGCCAGGCCCTCTGGCCAAGGGGCTCCTCGCGTTCTCGTTCCGAGTGGAAAGCCACTCTCTAGAACGCTAGAGGCAGGATGTCCAGATCATAAAGCTCAGCAAGCACCCCGAGAATCAAGACGCTGGAGGTCTGTGTTAGGAAGAAGGTTCGCCAGGAGCTTACCGAATCCGGAGTTCGCTTGCCGCGGCAGCCATACTGCAAGATTCATCCCGCTTGCCGCAAAGCCTCGACTCCCGGGAAAGAGGAGCTTTGGCAGCTAGGTGCTGGTCTATGAACATCGAAATAGCCTGGAATCAAACTACTTTCCAGACTTTTCTGAAAAGGTATAAGAAAACTAATCAAGGCAAATACACAAACATGGAATCCATGGTGTTTTTGTTGGACCACAATTCTTGAGTATGCCTGCTCTTGGGGAATATGGCTGATATACAGAATGACCCCCTTGGATACATTGTCCAGATCTACAAATCTAACATCTACTTGCCTCTGACTCCACGTGGAAAGATTATTTGTATTTAACACCAAGTCTAGCTTGACTTATAGGCTCCTTTTGTCTGCCCTACTGTTGGGAGATGCTTTGGCAAATTTTTTTAATTTCATAACTTTTATGAATAAAAGCTTGCATGTAAATTAAACAACACTCACTCAATAGAACAGACCTGAGGTATAGACATCTCAGTTAGAGTAACCACTCTAATGCTGTGGAATTTCACAATGAATTTTACAGAGTCACAACTGAAGGTTTTTCATACATTTATCCTCCACCAAAAAGGAAACATTTCAGGACAGACTCAGAACTGGAAAAACAACTACTTCTTTGACCTCTTTCACAGTGCATAGAGACAATTTGCACTCACTGTTTCCTTGACCCGTTATGTCAGCCTTTCCTGGTTTCTAAGAAATATTTTTTGTGTACACACAGGTACATTGGTTTCACCCCACATGTATGTCATTGACTAGATTGTGCATTGAAGAGTTTACATCCATTATTCTCTTTCCTAGATTATTTTACCTCTCTAAGATGAAACTTTCGAAGCCCATTCATCTGGCGGCCAATTTCATAATTTTAGGTTTCCTAGAGCTTTAACGAATGTAAGCTGCAGGATAATATTGTTCTTTCCTAATAAAAAAAAACATTCCCCACAAAAATAGTTATTCAGTAACATCCAGGCCAATGCTGCTTTGGGGACACTTAAGGAAAAAGACTTAGGGCAAATCCACCAGCTTGTTTTCATAATATGTTTTGTAAATGAATTAATTCCTAGCACTTGAAAATCTTGTGGGGAAGGAGAACAGCACTTCCCAAATGCCTTTGAATTCACCAATCGTTTTAAGGACGCAAAATGATTTAGAGTTTTTCTTTGTTGTTTTTTCCCTTGATAAAATCGCAATATAGAAATCCGTAATTTCGTTAATAAAATCCTACCGGCAGAATGAGAAGTTTCTGCGCAATGAGCAGCTTTACCTGCCAGGCTAACTGAAAGTGGTTGGAGATAAATCTCCCTTAGACACAGCCTCACTGGAGCTAATTCCTAGCGAAAGCACCACAGATAGGGAGAATGGAGAAAAGCAGGAACCTCTGCCACTGCTGCTTTTATCTTCAGTAGACCCATATTAACCAATTTAAAAATATTTTGTTTTCAGTTCTAACAGGAAGATCGATGTTCAGGAGCCTGGGCAAGGGACAGATTCTCCACTCAGCAGATTTAGCAGGTGCTCTGCGCAAACAACTTCATGAGCTGTGTCCCTGCGACCAGCGAGTCTGTCCAAATCCCTGCAACTTCTTGTCCCTCAGCCAGGCCCTCTGGCCAGGGGGCTCCTCCCGTTCTTGTTCCGAGTGGAAAGCCACTTTCTAGGAGGCTAGAGGCAGGATATCCAGATTGTAAAGCTCAGTGAGCATCCCCAGACTCAAGACGCTGGCTGACCCAGGATGTCTCTGTTAGGAACGAGGTTTGCCAGGAGCTAACTGAATCCGGAGCTCGCTTGCCGCGTCAGCCATACTGCACGATCCATCGCGGTTGTGGCAATGCCTTGACTCCTGAGAAAAAGGGCCTTGGAAGCTAGGTGCTGGTCTAGGAGCATCGAAATACCATGGAATCAAAATTATTTCCCAGTCTTTGCAAAAAAAGGTAAGGCAAAAAAGGCCTTGTGAAATTTACACAGCACAAGCAGGGAGATAAGGACTGTGAATTCATTTGCTGTGGTCTGCCCATCGGAGGGAGCGGTGAGCTGACCTAGCACATTCTGGCTGCTTTCTAGGGCACAGAATTAAAGCTTGGGTATCCAGGCATGCAACAGCTCGTCCTAGCAGGCTGCACAACAAAACCGCTTTGGTTTTTGGATGGGTTTGCTCAGGAGCAGGGTTTCTGGCTAAACTGTCCCAAAGTGCTTGGACATGTGCCTCCCTTGGTCTCTGAGCCTCCCTGGGGATAGCTCCTACTAAACGTAGCCGAGATGAAGGTTGAAGGACAGAACTCAGGCTAGCTCTTGCACCAGCCCCCACCACTACCTATTTTGCCTACAATAGGCACATGTCTAATCAATTTTTAAGCATTCCATTTTAGGTCCTAATTGTTCATAATCTATCCTCACAACAGGACAATGGACAGACTCGCTGCTCTGTATATTGAGTGGGAACTCAGGACAACCAACTTCTACGGGCTGAGTCTGTGGCACCAAAGAGTGTGAGACTCTTCCTGCAAAAATCCAAAAATCCCGGCACCTTATTTTCTCTCAAACCATGTCTTCTGGCCAAGGGGCTACTCTTTCAGCCATCCCAATTAGAAATTCACTCTCTTATATGCTTAACCAAGCTGTCTGATCCTCAGGGCATACCCCCAAATTCAAGAAGCATGTACCGTCACTGCTAGGCTGTGTACTGTCTTTTTATATTAGTGTCTACTGCCTGTTGGTTTTGAATTTTCAACTTCCGTTGCAGGGATAGGAACCAGACTAAGTTAGCCAAGTCATTGCATACTGTAGTATTTCCAGGAGTTCTGTAAAGCAGACTATGGACCTAAATTGTCACCATGGTAACTCAGCAACCTTTGTAGGATAGAGAGGCCTGTCCTTGGTGTGGGATCGCAAGATGATGGGTCATTTGACTCCCAACTTCTTAGGAAAGTCTTGCAGGTGACTATGGAATCCTGGCCTCCCAGAATATTTTCCTTACATCAACTGCTGGATCTCTCTCCTTTGGGACCCCACCTTTACCCTCCCCCCCCACACACACTTGTGCCATGGCTGAAGTGTTTATGAACTTAAACAGAGCTTTTCTTTTTTCAAAAATTCTGTTTTACTCACCAGGCCCTCATTAAATCACTGGAAAGTGTTTTCTTCACCCATCAGCCCATCTGGCCAGATTGTAGGCAGTTTCTGAGTATCCTCTATAGTGTTGAACAGAAAGACAGGATCATGATAGAAGACAGAAAAGCTGCTGTGAGTACAGGAACTATGGGGATTGGATACAGAAATGAGGCCTCAACTCATTTCTGTATCCAACCTTACCACACTGGAACCCTAAAACTGATCAAGGTAGGGGTCACTAGACCTCTATGGCTAGACTCTCCTGACCAGAATAAGAATAGTGGCTAAAGCCTACAGATCTCTTGAAAGTTACAGGGGCAATTTGGAGTAGCCAGAAATGCCCTGCTGTATTCATGGAGAGTCACAAAGCAGCATATTAGGAGTTCATGCCCATTGACCCAGATGGTCCAGAGAAACAGTGATCTATAATATTGCTTTTGTTACCCAGTTCACCCCAGTTATCCTCAGAAAGTTACAAAAATTAGAGGGATTTGAAGGGATGGGTAGATCACAGCTGCTAGAAATAAAAAATAGCTCAGAAGTGTGTGTGTGTGTGTGTGTGTGTGTGTGGTTCGAGACAGGGTTTCTCTATGTAACAGTCCTGGCTGTCATGGAACTCACTCTGTAGACCAGGCTGGCCTGGAATTCGCAGAGATCCGCCTGCCTCTGACTCCTGACTCCTGGGACTAAAGGCGTGTGCCACCACCCTTGGCAAGCATATTTAACAATAGAGAACCTGCTGAGAAACAATACAGAAGTCTGGCTAGGAGTTTGGTAGTTTCATTCAGGGAGGGGCCCATAGAAGCCAGAAATTCCACAATTGTGTTTTTGATCTTAGCCATTCTGACAGGTCTAAGATGGATTCTCAGAGTAGTTTTGATTGCATTTCCCTGATCACTAAGAACAATGAACATTTATTTCTTTCTTGGTCGTTTGAGATTCCTTTGTTGAGAACTCTATTTAGATCTGTACCCCATTTTTAAATTTGATTATTTGGTTTGTTGATGTCTAGTTTCTTGAATTTTTTTAAATATATATTTTGGCCATCAGACCTCTGTCAGATGTGGAATTGATGAAAATCTTTTCCCATTCTCTAGGCTGCCATTTTGTCCGTTTGACAGTGTTCTTTGCCTTACACTTGTTTTTCAATTTCATGAGGTCCCATTTATTAATTGTTGATCTTAGTGCCTGTGCTATTGGTGCTCTCAAATCTGTTTCCCACTTTCTCTTCTATCAGGTTCAGTGTATGTGTTTTATGTTGAGGTCTTTGATTCACTTGGATGTGAGTTCTGTGCAGGGTGATACATACAGATCTATTCACACTCTTCTACATGCAGACATCCAGTAGGACTAGCACCATTTGTTGAAGATGCTTTTTTCCCCATTGTATATTTCTGGCTTCTTTATCAAAGATCAGGTGTGCATAGGTGTATGGATTTATGTCTGGGTTTTTGAGTCAATTCCATTGATTTTCTATCTGTTTTTATGTCAATATCATGTGGTTTTTACTATTATAGCTCTATAGTGCAGCTTGAAATCAGGGATGGTGTTACCTCCAGAAGTTCTTTTATTGTATAGGATTGGTTTTAGCTATCCTGTGTCTTTTGGCTTTCCATATGTAGTTAAGATTGTTTTCTCAAGGTCTGTAAAGAATCATGTTGAAATTTTGATGAGGATTGCATTGACTCTGTAGATTGTTTTATATAGGATTGCCATTTTTACTATGTTGATCCTACCTATCCAAGAGCATTGGAGATCTTTCCGTTTTCTGATATGTACTTGAATTTCTTTCTTCAAAGACTTAAAGTTCTTGTCATACAAATTTTTCACTTGTTTGGTTAGAATTACTCCAATATATTTTATATTATTTTTTGCTATTGCTGTTTCTCTGATTTCTTTATCTGCCTATTTGTGTTTTGTATATAGGTGGGCTACTGATTTTTTTTATTTATAGTAGCTTTTTTAATTTTAGAAGCACTCTTATTTACATATCCATCCTCACCCCCCCATCCCTTCACCCTCCCATCCTCCCATGCTCCCCACCAACCCCCAACCCACCCCCCCAGGGATAGTGAGGCCCTCCATGGGGGATCATAAAAGTCCATCACATCATTTGGGGGAGGGCCCAGTCCCTCCTTCCTGTATCTGGGCTGCAACAGTATCCCTCCATAGGGAATAGGCTCCCAAAGCCCATTTGTGCTCTAGGGACAAGAACTGGCTCCACTGTTAGAGGTCCCATAAACTACCTTGGCCCCCTAGCTGGTACCCACATTCCTAGGGCTTGTTTCGGTCCAATGCTGGTTCCCCAGCTTTATGACTAGGGTCTCCATGTTCTCACTAGGTCAGGTCCACTGTTTCTGCGGCTTTCTCCAGCACAGTTTTGGCTCCTTTGCTCATATCTCCTCCCTCTCTGCAACTGGATTCCAGGAGTATGGCTCAGTGTTTAGCTGTGGGTGCCTGTTTCTGCTTCCATAAGCTACTGGGTGAAGACTCTAGTAATGGTAACCAAGGTAGTCATCAATTTCATTATAGGGGAAGGGCATTAATGGCAGCCTCTCCACCACTGCCTAGATTCTTAGTTGGGCTCATCCCTGTGGATCCATTAACATTTCCCCTGTGCCAGACCTTTCTCCAAACCTGTACTGTCTCCCTCTATCAAGGCATCTCCTTTCTTGCCCTCCTCTATTCTTCCCCTGTCTCACTCCTCTTGTTCTCCTCTCCCCTCCCCTTCTCCCCTTCTCACATCCTTCCTCTCCCCTCCCAATTTAGTCAGTGGTTCTTGTCCCCCTCCCCTTCTTCGAGGGACCATGGAATCTTCTCTTGGGGTCCTCCTTGTTTCCTAGTTCCTCTGGTGGTGTAGATTGTAGACTGGTAATCCTTTGCTTTATGTCTAATATCCATATATGAGTGAGTACATACCATGTTTATCTTTTTTGTGACTGAGTTACCTCACTCAGGATGGTTTTTTCTAGTTCCATCCATTTGCCTGTGAATTTCAAGATTCCATTGTTTTTTTTCCACTGAGTAGTACTTCATTGTGTAAATGTACCACATTTTCTCTATTCATTCTTCAGTTGAGGGGCATCTAGGTTGCTTCCAGGTTCTGGCTATTACAAACAACGCTGCTATGAACATCGTTGATCAGATGTCCTTATTGTATGAATGTGCATTCTTTTGTATATAGGTGGGCTACTGATGTTTTTATAGTTAATCTTTATCTAGCCACTTCACTTAGGTGTTTATCAGCTGCAGGAATTCCCTGGTAGAATTTTCAGGGTAATTTGTGTGTACTATCATATTATCTCTGAATAATGATATTTTGACCTCTTCCTTCCACTTTGTATCTCCTTGATCTTCTTTAATAGTCTTACTGCTCTAGCTAGAATTTCGAGTAGTATATTGAAGAGATATGGAGAGAGTGGATAGCCTTGTCTTGTTCCTGATTTTAGTGGAATTGCTTTTCTTTTCTTTCCATTGACCTATATGGGGAGGTAAGGGAATGAAAATGACAGATAAATGGACACAGAAAATCTGTTATCAAGTAATCTCTTCTCTCTGATGGAAAAGTCATATCACCCCAGAATCTCAGTGTATTTATCATATACAGGTAACAAGAAGGTGGGATTATTGCATATAGCTGCCCAAGGAGGCAGAGTTATTACCTACAGATGAAGAAACAGGCAGAGTTTTTGTATACAGATGAACAAGGAAGCATGTTTATGGATCAGGCTCTATGGGGGGAACAGTCTTTAAGCTGTAAATATGAGGAGAAGATGCTACAGTGAACATTTTCTGCATACATTGTCAATATTTGCATTCAGAT